GGAGCAAGGGCCTGGGACACTACCACAGGGAGGCAGGGGGCTGGGCTTCGGTGCCACTAGGGTTTATGCAGAGGCAGGCTGCAGGGTGTGGTCACACTGTGGACTGCAGGGGGGTCTCATGGTGGCAGGCCTTTGCTCCTCTGGGGTCACATGGCAGCTGGGGGTGGTTCCTCCTCAGGGTCATGGGGCAGCCTGCAGTCGCTCCTCAGGGGTTATGCAGAGGCTGGCAGGCAGTTGCTCCTTTAGGGTCTTGTGGAGGCTGGGGACAGTTGCTTGCTCTCCAGGGTCACAAAGTGACGAGTGGTTGCTCCCTACTTGCTCTTGGTGAGTGGGTTCCATAGTAGCTTGGCTGGTGTCTTTTGGCTGGGACTTAGCTGTCCTGTGTGTGGTTCAAATTCCAGCTCTCTGGCTATGCTGGGTTCTGGCTGCGTTGGGTTCAGGCTGCCAGCCCTAATTTTTATAATTTCAGGTTTTTTAGAGGGTGCGGATTTTCTTGCTGTTCTTTTTCAATTTGTTGTAGATGTTGAGTTAGAGAGTCAATGATCACTTTTTCCTGCCTTTTGATGTGTTTGCTTATTGGTATAAATTGGCCTCTGATTACTGCTTTTGCTGTTTCCCAGAGGTTTTGCCGAGTTGTGTTTCCATTGTCATCTATTTCAAGAAACTTTTTATTTTTGCTTTTAATTCCTTCTGGTACCCACTCATGTTCAAATAAGTTGTTGTTCAGCTTCCAAAAGCATGTTTTTCATCATTATCCATTTGTTATTAATTTCTAATTTTGTAGTATTGTGGTCAGAGAAGATACTTTGTATTATTTCTATGTTTTTGAATTATTGATGCTTGCCTTGTGACTTAAAATGTTACTTATTCTCAAGAATGTTTCATGCACATTAGTGAAGATGGTATACTGTGCTTTTTTTGGGGATGCATTAGACTATAAATATCTATGAGATTGAGTTTGTTTACCGTGTAGTTTAATTCATCGGCATCTTTGTTTTGTTTTGTTTTTTTTCAGAGTTACAACTCCATCTTTATTTAAGCCTTATGAGCCTCCTTAGCGTTTTCCACCAGCTCGGGGAGCAGAAACTTTCACAGGCTTCGCAATTTTTTGTTTAGGCGCTGCTTTT